CAGTGCCAGCACTGCAAACGAGGATTTGAATATCAAATAAAGAACTTGGCTGAGCCTTTAAATTGAAATTGCAGAAATGGGAGAAAATTTAATAGGAACTTACAGCAATAACTACCATTATAAACCTGAGATTTGCCATTAGAGAGGAAAGAAGAAACATACATGTGATGGTGAATCATACTCAATGAGGAAAAACAAGGCTAAAACCTACTGGCTTCAATATTTTTGCTGCAAATTAGCAAGTATGAAGCCTGTTACAACCTCTGTGGGAAACTGAGTGCAACCTTGGACACACAGTTAAAAACAAAACAGGCCCACACATAAAACCCCAAACAAATCAACAAAAAGGTGGATTCCAGCTGCCATATGTGCAGAGGAAGGTCACTCAGAGGGGCAGAGGCTTTCTGTCGTGCTGGAGGAGATTGGAAAGAGCTTGGATTGCTCCCTCTGGCAAAGCAAAGTTTGCATGAGGCTGGAAAGGCTGTTTTGATTCTGTCTGGAGTGGTGGGTTAGTGCTGTACAGAAGAGCTAAGAAAATGGTTCCCTGCCATGAAACCAAAGGGTACAGCTCACTGTGAATAAATGTTAAATGCAAGATTGAAGGAAGTTTCCATTCTTCAGATAGAGCCTAACAAATCTTAGAAATTGGGCAACCATCCACAAAATTCTTAATATGGAACAAGATAGATTTATGAAGTGGTTTATGTGGCGTGATTGCTGGAGATAGCAGGGGTCTGGGTCTGATGACTCAAAGGTACAGTGTACTAAATATTCCACCTATATGCTAGGCTCAAGGGGGTCAGTTTATATCATTATTTGCTACAAAAATACAGATTTCAAGCTATGCAGCAGACTGCCTAGGAGGAATAGGAAAAAAATTATACACTCACCATATTTTTTTTTCCTCTCAGGTGACTTAGACCAAATGCTGTGGGATTACAACAAGGGAATAGACTGAGGTTTTACGGTGGGTGAGGTCTTTCAAGCATTCCTCAAAGTCACCTTCCACCTCAGAAGCAGGTTTGAATACCTAGATTTATTTTAAAGCTACAACACTTCAAGTATCTCAAATTCTCTCCTCTATTTTTAAACTGTATTTTGGGTTCTGAAAGCACATTTTACTGATCTGCCTTTATTAGGCTCCTGCTACTGATAGATTTCAAGAATTTGGGGCTCTTCATCATCTCTTTGTACCTCCTCTAAAGTCAGTGCTTTCCTCTGTACTTTTTTGCATCCATAAAACTAGATAACTGAAAGTGCCTAAACTGAGTCTGTCTATGAATATGGAAAGGACCAGGGCCAAGAAATTCACAGCAGGGAAATATGCACTTTCCACAAGATTTCCCCATTTTGATAGGCTGGCAAATGCCACTTAGCATTTTGCTCCTTTTCTCACAGCAAGGTGAGAATTTTTTTTTTTTTTTGCTCATTATTAGTGGACAAATTCATAACATTATCCTCCACTTTCTAGGCCACCCAGTGACTACATATTCTCATTATTTTAACTGTATCCCAGAAAAATAGGATGACAAGATGTAGTGGGAGAAATGAAGTAGGACTTCAGTGTGTGAGGGAAAAGTGGTGACAGTGAGGAGTATATCCTGATAAAACCTTGACTTCATGCTGAAATATTTCTCAGAGTATGTATAAAAGGTATTTCTTGATGGTGAGCCTTCAGAAACAGAGCCCTCTAGGAATTAAAGGGATTGTCTCCAGTGGCTCAGCTGGCCAATGGAGGTGCCTCTTTTACCTGCCATTTCTACACTGGAGTTGCAGCAAAGACCTATCTGAGCCAGAATTAGGTTAAGTGCCCCCAAAACAGCAGGAATCCATCCAGGGCAACAATGTGCTTATGCAGATGGAGCCCACACTGAGCTCCTTGCTATGGCAGCTAAGTTGCCATCACTCACAGCACAGCTGGAGCAGTGACTGTGTTATAGACATTGTCTTTGTTTGGAAAGCATGATAAAGTTGGGCCCACAGCTGGTGCTGAGAGGCTGATTTTTGGGAGCTGTGATGCAGTGTGGAGCCTCTATCCCCTCTGAATTCCAAAATGATGGAAGGGAAATATCCTTGCATTGTTTGGTATGGCTTGCTCTTGTGTGTGATGCCATACAACAATAAATCTAGTTCTGCACCTTCTGGTTGATAAAAGTTGTTTATCTCCAGCTGAGATGCTGGACTTGATTTATATTAGACTGATTTTTCTTTTGTATGAAGGTCAGCCTCATTACATCTTTATAAGGATTCTGGAAAATAGATCTAATTTGGATTGTACTGTAGCCCAAAGTTTTTCCAACAGAGGTCAGTAGTAAGTAAACAGAACTGCACTCATATAGGACTAGATAAGATATTACAGTAAATCCTAACCTCTCCTTTGTGGAAGTGGGTTTGCCTTCCTACTGGTTGACTGCAGTACTAAACCAGTACCTGGCCCTGAGACCAAATGGCCCAGGAAAATATACTTTGAAGCTCTCCTATCTTGCTGTCAAGAATGCTCCCATTAATCCTGTATTTTGGGAATAGTCCATGGCCCATGGGAACACCAGGCCTGTACAGGGAATGCTTATGGACCCAGAACAATTGATGGTTTCCCAGGGAGGGTGACTGAGAGCCCATGTCTATGTTCTAGTATTGCTAATCGCTGATATTGACATAGCCTGTGCATGCTGCACTGCTGCAGAGTTCATAGTCTTCTGTGGTCACCGTGCTATCCTCTCTCTACCCTACTCAGAAGTCCTCTCTAGTATCTGCCCTGAATAAAGTTAGCAAGAAGAACTTGTAAAAGCCTTTATAATGATGCAAGATTTTAATTTCCTTGTCTGTCCTCACTCTGCAAAGTGAACTACCACAGCTTTTTTTCTTTCCTCTGCAGATTTTCTTTCAGACCTCTTGCTGCTCTTACTGCTTATATTTTCTTGCATTTTCTCTGTCTTATGTTCAAGAATACAGGCCAGGATGCTCAAGGAAGCCTTTCACTGGCACTCCGTGTGACAGAAGAAATGTCTTTGTCTTGTAGCGCACCCCATTTCTGTAATGATTTCCAAAATGAGTATTGTCTTTCTTCTGCAGAGCTAGATTACTGCATCCATACCAGTTTTGTGACTCCTATACACCCAGCTCTTTCACCAACACACAGCTGTCTAGCTGATTGTTATCCCCATTGATTTGTTCTGTAATAGCTTGCCAGGAATAAACCCTTCACAATCCATTTGAAGCAAAGACAGGCTAAATTAATCTTGTTGATTCTGGACAGCTACATCACCAGTTCATTTCAGAATTTTTCCTGGTCTTCCACAATTTTTGTCACCTCTATAACTTCTCATTAACCACTTAGCCCTGTATAAATGAAAATATTGAGTAGAATGAGCAGAGGAGAGACTTATAAGGCAACTCACTTGAAATACCTTCCCATTCTGTTTCTCTTGGGGTATTTTAGAGACAATTTGTGGACTGCTTTTTTGATGCTTTTAGCTGGGCCTGATGTCCTTAGGTAACCAGGGGAATGGTATGCGAGACAGTGCTGAGATCCTCCACTGGGCTCAGATATATTTTCAAGACAAAGTTTCTCCTTCCTTTCTCACTAGGCATGTATCCAATCTTGGTAGGGAAACTTTTCCTATACAAGAGTCAGAAAGAGTAGACCTGGGCATGCAGTACTGGCTCAAAAAGTTTATAGGAGTTCTTGGGGAGTTTCAGTTAATGCATGTTGAGCTGATCTGCCATACTGTACAGCTTCTTATTGCAGAAAATAGCTTGATTGTGTTTCTCTGTGTGTAGTAATGTTGCAGTGGGAGCTCTGACCCTCTGGAGATCAATAATTTCTGAATTACAGATCTTGCTTGCCCAATATAGGTAACATTTTTAAACAGGGTTTTTAAACAGGGGTCATATCTTATATGAAATCAGCTGATGTAACTCCTGTTTTATATAAATGACTATCATAACAGCAAAATGAAAGGAAGAAAATGAATTGTTTTATTGTTATTATGGTAATGAAAGCATTATAAATGCATAGAAAAGCATCTCAGTGACTTAAGCCATTGCTCAAATAAACTGTTGGCTCTCAGGTTTTTGTGATGGCTTTTTTGTTTTGTCCACTGTTCTTGAACAGCTGTAGCCTCCATTTATTGAAAGGACAGAACCTCGGGCCTGTGAACAGCTCTGCATTCAGCCCTCTCATAACAGAAAAAACAGGGTGCTTGTGACTATTGGGTGCTCATTCCAGGCAGAAACCTCTTACCTGAGCAATGACTCACAGTGGAGTATACTTCCAGTTTTGCCATTTGTCCTCCAGCTGTCTGACTACATTTGGGAAGCCCACAAAGGAAAAACCAAGAAAGAAGCTGATTTGTAGCTTGGTGCTAGCTGGGTTGCATGTCAGTTAAGACATGTAGGATGATATGGTTTTTTGATGGTTACATAACTCAGAATGAAAATCAGAGCCAGCCAAGGATCTGAGACAGTGGTCATGGAAGCATTAGTCCATCATGTAGCAAAAGTTCGTGCTGCATTATCTTAACTAAACAAATTACATTTGCTTGTTGCTTGTGGGATCTGCCTAGAACACTAATTTTTAAATGCATGAGTACTCCTGGGATCTGTTTACTGCACAATTTAGACCAAGAGGGAGTATTTTTATTCAGCTACTCCTCAGCATGTAAATCCCATTGACCGAAATATCTATCAACATGGCAGGAGTGTAAGGGCTTGGTTCTGAAAAGCACCAAGTTGACCTTCTTCAAACAAGGTTTCAATCCATTTTTCTTTGACAAGAAAAAATGACAGTAAATGTTTCTTTGTCTATTTCTATTCTTTTGCCAGTATGCAGAGCTCACTATGCAGCTTATGCTATTTTTATTCATGAAATTGGTACAAACTTAACATAACTACTTATAACTAGAGTTTGTAAAATTAATTTCCATGCCATCACATTGAAGGTGATAAATTATGCCTCTTTTTAATTAAACCAGAAATATAGATTTAAGAGCTGGTATAAGGCATTTTAATTCATTTTTTATTTAAGTCCCATACCTACAATATCTGAGATGCAATTATGAGATATTATGATGTAAGTTAATGATCTTTTATTGTTCAGCCAATATGCCATAACAAAAATTACACTTTACAGTGTCTTTATAATTAATTTTTCCCTGTGTCTGTTTTCTTTTTCAAGGGGAAGATCTATCTCTCTTGTTGGAGATTCTGGCTTGTTTAGAGTTCTTTGTGTGACTACACATGAAAATATAAAACACTTTTCAATTTGGAGTTTTGTGCAAGTAGAAGTCTTCTGATATGGGCAATCTTCCATTCCTATCCAGGCAAGATCTCTTCATCCTGATGAGAATTCTGTGTATGCTGTCTCTTTTACAGATACATATCAAAAATTTGGATCTGCAGATGCTCACACCAGTGGCCTTGAACTCGCGGTTGTCTTGCAACCCAAACACGAGAAATTTATATATTTGGAAGAATACTGTTTGCAATCACTGAATATTTAGCCAGAAGAGGGTGCTTATTGAGGTCTTTGCTAATCAAGTGCAATTTCTATTACCTTGTTCCTGATTCTTGGAAATTAAACTGGGTTCCTCAATAAGTTGGGAAAGCAGATGATGGACATTTAAATCCCACCATGTGCACTCCCTTGAAAGCTCAGTACAGCTATTCACTGTGCTGTGCATAGTGGTATGACATTCATCATGCTGGTTTTTATGGTCCTGCATTGTGCTGGGGTAGACTGAGCATTTTTCTGTTTGTGGAATTTCCCAGCCTTTCAGAAATGTGCCTGTCAATGGTGTGACTTGATCAGAAGTCTTCCACTCCTCTCTTTCTTCCATGAGCCATGAACCTCTAGCCTTACATGACTGGGACTTTACAGCCTGGGAAAAAAAAAACAAACCAAAAAAACAGCCAGGAGCTCATGCTGAAGCACGCAGTGGCATGGAAAAGCTGGAAATTGTTTATAGTTCCTTCTAATACAAGAATGAAGGGCACTAGGTAGAGCCAGAAAATTGTCAGAAAATTGAAATTAATTAGAAAGGAGCCACATACACAGTGCAGAAGGAGATGGAAATCCTCATCAAGGTGTGCTGGAGGTGCTAAAAGGTTGCATGTGTCTATAAAGCATGGGAAACATTTCTGTTAGAAAATTCCAACCAGATTCCTAAATGCAAACATTTAACTTGAGAATTTCTGGACCAAGAAAGTTGCTAAATCACAAGTTACTTGGTCTAGGAAGGTATTCCAGGGAGTCATTGCTATGGACTTACCTGTTGTAACACTCTTCTCTTGGCATTCACTTATGTTTGCCATCAAAGACAGACAGTGGGAGAAATAGCTGCACAGAGGATGCTGAGGCTGGTCCATCTGCACACTGATTGATTAAGAACATCTGAAGCTGATGGAATATGTTGATTTTAAAGGTACAAATCGGGTCTTGGGAAAAAAAAAAGAAAAAATAAAGAAACCAGAAGAGAGAAAGGAAAGGAATGGGAAAAAGAAATCTCCTCAGTACCCAGCCAGGAAGAAGATTGGTAAGGTCTCAGTTGATCATCCCCTATTGGGACTGTCTCCAGTGCAGCCAGTATCAGGACTGAAGATGACAAAAAGGAGCAGGACTTGTGCTATGCTATTTCCCTGGAACTACATGTCTTCCAACAGAACCTGCCCAAGATCCCTACTGGTGGTTGCTGTGAGTGATGTTATTAGTGCTGACTGGAGTGTGTTTATTGGACCTAAATGCTGCACATTGGTCAGGTGTTAAGATTCTGTACATTTGGTGTTGCCTCTCCATAGCCTCAGCATTACTAGAGCTAAGGCTCAAGGACACTTTGGACACTGGGCAGCAACAGGACATAGTGCAGGAGTGGAGATGACCACCTAGAGGAGAGCTGCCAGCAGCCAAGGAGATGTCACTTTGAGATCACCTAGTGTTCAAGTTTTTCAGATACCAAATTATATCTCAAGGAGAGAGAGAGAAAAAAAAAACCCATGCTTTTTAAAATAATTAAAAATACTAAACAAAAGAGAATTGCACAGTCAAAACCAATGTATAGCACAGGATTCATTTAAGCTACAGCACAATGGTTATCAAATATTTTTTAAACATAATAATACATTCTGAGGATTAGTTTGTCTGTCATAATGAAAGAAATTAAATTTCTCCATTCTTCTTTTATAGAAAGACAACTGCTTTTGGAGCAACTCAGAATGGAAAATACCAAAACAGACCAAAAAACAACTAGCCAGCCATGTAATTTTGACACTGTGTACACTGTGTGAGCTCCTAGATCTTATCAAGTGTTAATAATTTCATGTTGAAAAGGCTGACAGACTTTCTACTACACAGGTGCTTAAAAATACTTCAGAATACAATCTTATTTCAAGCCTGATGAATTTGTAGCTTTTTCAAATATCAGCAAGGATGAAATTGCACCTTTGCTCTCAATGAGGGTTCTTCTGCAGCAGAGTACCTTTACTTATGTGTGCTGAAGTCAGTGAGATAATTCATATAAGTGCCCCTGGTATAAGCAGGTGCCTGCCTGTGTTTACCACCTGTGTTTGGCTGAGCCCAGAGTGGATGTGAATGGAGTTGCATCCACCTGGTATCCAGTGACAAGTGGTGTTCCCCGGAGCTCAATGTTGGGTCAAGCCCAGTTTAATATCTTTACCAATGATCTGGATGAGGTGATCAAGGGCATCCTCTGTCAATTTGCAGTTGAAATCAAGGTGGGCACAAGTATTGATCTGCTGGAGGGCAGGATGTCTCTACAGAAGGATCTGGACAGGCTGGATTGATGGGCGCAATTACATGAGGTTGAACAAAGCCAAGAGCTGGGTCCTGCCCTTAGGTCACAACAACTCCCTGGAATACTACAGGCTGAGAAAGCTGCCCAGAGGAAAAGGACCTGGAGGTGGTGGCTGATCATGGCTGAATATGAGAAGTGTGTGCCCAGGTGGCCAAGAATGGCACCTGGCCTGTATCAGCACTAGTGTGGCCCCAGGGCCAGGGCAGTGATTGTCCTGCTATACTGGGCACTGCTGGAGCCACACCTGGAGTGCTGTGTCCAGTTCTGGGCCCCTACTACAAGAAATACACTGGGGGGCTGGAGTGAGTCCAGAGAAGGGAAACGAAGCTGGTGAGGGCTCTGGAGCACAAGTCCCATGAGGAGTGGTTGTGGTAGCTGGGGGTTGTTTAGCCTGGAGAAAAGGAGACTCAGAGAAGGTCTTAATACTCTCAAAAATGCTTAAAAGGAGGGTGAGGCCAGGTGAGGACTGGTGTCTTATGCCAGGTAACAAGAGACAGGACAAGAGGAAATTATTTAAATTGTGACAGGGCAGGTTTAGATTAGACATTAAAAAAAAATTCTCCCCTGAAAGGCATTGCAAGAGACTGGCTAGGGAAGTGGTGTCATCTCTGGAGCTATTCAACAGATGTGTAGATGGGACCCTTAAGGACATGGTTTAGTGGTGTACTTGTCAGTTTTGGGGTAACAGTTGGACCTGATGATCTTGAAGGTCTTTTCTAGTCTAAATGATTCTCTGATTCTATAATTCTGTGGTAAAAAGAACTAATGGCTGTAACCTCAAGCTTTTTACTTACAAATGAAAAATGAAGAACATTCATTATTTGCAATCAATGAGAAACAAATTACCAGTGTTGGTAGAAGATTCCTAATTTTTAGATAACTTCAAATTATGCCTGGATGGAAGATATACTTTAACAGAACACAAGCTATTTGGCTTCATATACTCAATCACTCTTTATTTACTGTTTTTAATAGGAGTATTAAATCTTCCCATTCACTGAGGTTCCAGTATGATACACTATCTACAGACCTTATTCTCATTTCTTTTTCTATATAATACTAAATGTAATTTTATTGTTTGGATGTTTTTTTGTTTGTTTTGGTTTTGTTTTGTTGGTTTTTTTTTTTTTAACAGTAACTGTGAGAGAAAATATTGAGAAACTACAATAAAATAAATAAATAAAAAGAACATATTAAATACATTTTCAAACATGGCTCTACTTCCCCTCAAGAGGCTAGAATCTAATATTGACTCCAGTCTCAGCATTTTAAGTCCTTCAAGTCCTTCAGCAAAATTCATGCTAATAGATCCAATATTGGATTTTACATTCTGCCTCTATTGCAGTGAAACGCTCAAGAATATCATATTAAAACAGCAAATATAAGAGTAATTTCCATTATTATTCCACGCAAACAAATTGCAAACAATTTCATTGGAACCAATGAAACTAACACAAACACCATCACAGAAATTTGTTTTCTCCACTGCCTCACTTCCTCCCAACGGTAACCCAGCACCTTCCATACTCCTTGCCATGATAAGCCACCAGCTGTCCTCTTTTGTCCTGTATCATTGCCCAACTTCTCTTGCATTATCTCCATTTTGCCTCTTCCTTTGGGCTTGAATGGCCCATCATCCCATGCCCATGATATCCCTAAGTCTTGGTTGTGCTCCTCTTTCTCCATGGCTGGGCCAGGGGCTGTGTGTGGGTCCCAGTAGCCCATGTGCCGACCCATGAGCCAGGCAGTGCATGTGAGGAATTTGTTCTAACCAGGTTAGGCTCCCTCTGCAACCTTTCTCTCAGCACAGGATGTTATTTAGATCTCTCTCATCTTCCTGGACACAGACTTTCATGAAATTTTCAGGAAATGATTTGTCATTGACATCCTGCCTTTCTGTCAGATGGGCTTGTAGTTGTCATGTGATAGATGGATGGACAGAGAGCAAGATCATGTAAGCTGCATTCCCCTGGAAAGCCGGTCTGAACACACTGGATTAACTTTTCTGGCCTACAGAGGTGTTCAAACCATAATTTTTTGATCAGAGACATGCAAGTTAGTGAGAAGCAGAACAAAGTGAACTGCAGATGAGGATGACATATTGAATGTTGGTATTTCCAGGAAAAAATTATATTTCTTTCCACAGACAAGTACTTTCTTGATTTTTTTTTTGAGCAATAGATTACCATTAGAATTTCCTAGAAATATTCAAATGGATTTCAGGACTTCATTTTTCTACCATTTATAAACTGGAAAATATTAACAAATTCTCCTTCTAAAGTCTGAAAAGCCTAAGCTAAGTGTAGAGTTACATGAAATCTATTTTTTCTTTACATGCATATTTCCTGCATGTCTGTGTTACTGTCATCGGTGCGTCCTAAGGTTACACCATGGAACAGTTTATAAGACCAAGTGTTAAATATGCAGTACTGCTAGCTTCTACTTAAAAAAAAAAAAATAGAGGCAACAGGAATCTCTGATTCCCTTTATAAACTCATTTAAATCGACTCTAAATTAATTGCTAAAATTGTGCACAGTTAATAATTGCTTCTATATTATTCAATGTATTTGGAATGGAAACAATGACAAAGAAGTCAAAGAAAGGTCTGAGGTTACATACATGAAGAACAACTTTTCATGGTGGACATCCTTTCTGGTAGGTCAGTGTTTGCAGATTTCCATGTAAAATGATTGCTAAAGTATTAAAGTAAACATAATGAACATCACTCTGAAGTCCAGTTCTAAAACACTCTTAATTAAGTGCCCTATTCCCTGAGGCTTTTGGAGGAAGGTATTATAAAGTAGATCCTAGAAAATCCGTATTTAAACATAATTTGGATTTGAACAGATAAGAAATAATTATCACTGTGTATAAATATACCAGCTTTCCAGTTTCCTACACAGGATAATGGGCATATAAAACTACATGGAGCCAATTAATTTATTTTTGGTATTTCATATTCACTTCCACATTTTTACATGGTTGTATTTTTTAAAGAACTATTGACATGGAAATTAAAATTTATACCCCCTTTTTATTTGACTCTTTTTCACAGGCAATATTTTAAACTAGAATTGGTTTCTCTCTGCTCATTAACCACTTCTTTTCTCTGCCTGACTCAATGTCAGGTAGGAGGACAAAAGTATTGCATACTAGTGATGATAGGTAGTATGTCTAAAGAAGCTGGCATGTTGGATGATGCTTTCCTGAGAAAATGACATCATCTCAAGACAAAATCAGATTTTTTTTTAATTGGAGAGATGTCTTCTATCTTGCACACACTGAGGAATTCTAGGTTTTTCAGTGCCTATCTGATCCTCTTTATTTAAAGCATTTAAGGAAAAAAAGTTAATTTGATTGCAGCAGCTTCTGGTGGCTGAGTTTGGGGCTAAAATAAGGCATAAAGAGCAGATATAGCTGAAATTTGAGATATTCTACTCCCAAGTGAATAGAAACTCATTAGTCGTCTCTCATTTCCACATAGATGCAAAACACAAATGTTGGAAGAATCACCTGGCAGCAATCTTCTACAAAGTCAGATGGAATTTAAAGGGTGTAAATGGACCTGCTTATGGCTCTTCTGAGAAGAATAATGAGAGTTTAAAGAATCTTGAAATAACTGTAGAAGAATTAGGGAAAACAGAATGATGGATTTGTTAATCTGGGATACAGCAGACCTGTGACAATAGCCTGCATGAACACAAACAGCTCTAACAGGAGCTTAAAGCCATTCCTTATGAATGAAGCAGAGGAAACTCTCAGGTCTAGAAGTTCTTGGCTCACATCTCAACAGCATCTTCAAGTGACTGGGATGGTTTTCCCTCTTTGTCAACCTGTTTGGGAAGAAGCATTTCCAACAGTGAGACACATCTGGAGAGCTGGGTCCAGTTCTGGGCTCCCCAGCACGATGCATGGACATACTGGAGATAGGCCAAAGAAGGGCCATGAAGACAGTGAAGGGCCTGAAGCATCTGACATACAAAGAGAAGCTAAGAGAGCTGAGCCTGTTCAGCGTGGGGAAGAAAAGGCTCAAGGGAATCTTAACACTGTGCATAAATACCTCATGGGAGGCATTAAGAATGGTGTTTTTTTTCAGTGGTGCTCAGGAACACGACACTCAACAAGCACAAACTGAAATATGGAGAAGTCTATTTAAGTGTAAGAAGAAAAGTTTTTGTTTTTTTTTACTGTGAGGATGGTAAGACACTGAAATGGTTTGTCTAGATGGATTGTGGAGTCTCTGTCCTTGGATGTACCCAAAACCTGACTGCATGTGGCCCTGTATAAACCTGTTCTAGGTTACCCTGCTTGAGCAGGGGGGCTGGATGACCCTCTCATTCCTGTATGGACTGGTAACACTGAACATTGTTTTGCCTCCTGGCACATTTTCAATATTCCATAATAAAAAATGTGAAATATAGTTTTAGAAATATCCTGTTTGTTTTTAACATCATTTCCCTCTATTTTTTTACCACAGATTTTTATGTGGAACTTTCAAGTCAACACCAATTACTCATGTTCCTGGGAGAGAAGATGCATTAGGCCTAATGCAACACCTTTAATGTAAAAAGTGCCAATGAGTAGGAGCTGACAGCTCACCCTTGGGAAAACATGGAAACTGGGCTTAGAGCTGCAGTTTAAACTTGGAGTTTGCTAGTTAAATTCCCAGCAGGTCAGTTATTCAATGTATAAATTCAGCTAATCCGAGACAAGATGTCCTAAAAATGACACCTTATTACAGAATGGAAAACATGGGATGAGCTATTAGCTTTCCTTCCTCTTCTTAGCTTATCTACCCCATTTTTAACTCCTGTATCTATCAATGAAAGAAAAAAAAGCAACAACCATTAGACATATGCTTTTCCATTATCATGGCTGTGACGTTACAAGCACATGCATAGACTGGATCATCTCTTTAAATTCTGGTGGCAGGCTATGCTCAGATGCCTCCTGCTTCTTCCCAACGCACAAATGACCTTTTCCAGCCACTCACCAGAAATAAATACAAACTGGTGCAAAACCAATACCAAATAATTTAAAAAGGATTATCAAGCCTGCATTGTTCAATGTGTCCTGCTCTATGGGAGAGGCAAATAAAAGTTCCTTTCATGGAAGAAGGCTACATTTTAGTGACAACCCTGGGAGCACTCTCAGTCATTCCCTTCCACTGCAAACTTGACACTTGTTCACAGAGAAACTCATGTCTTTCCCCTTCTGAGTTCTACCTTCCAGATACTAAAACTTAAAACTGTTGGAATTTTTTCTTTACTTCCAAATTATGTCAGTTACATCACCACCCTTTATCTACTGCTTAAGCACTTGTTTTTAAAGAACTGTGCTTATGAAAAAGAAAATGAAAGCAAGAGTTTAATGAATAATGAAATGAACTAAATAGTGAATATTTTATTTAAACTTTTGGGGAAAATTCTTCTGTAAGATGTGAAAATAATGAGAAATGAATAATGTATGGAACAAATATCATTAAATGCATTGAACGAGGTATTTGAGGAATATTAATCAATAATCTTTTGGGAAACTAA